GAGGGTTACACAATATACGATGAACGTGCGACACATGCCGTGGGAGGAAGGGACGGAGGAACGATGGCTCTGAAAGGAGTCTTCAAGGAACGACTTCTTCAGATCGTTTCGGTGGCTACACAGGTGGCCATATCTCGGCGAGTGCAGAGGTACAAGCTCGCATTGCGCGGGCGTCAAGACGCCGAAAACAGGCGAACAAGATCGACCTCGGACCAGTCAACGCCAATGATATGGGGATGGAGTGTAGACGCATCGTAGAACGCGTTTTCGTTTGAAGTTGACGTCTTGTTTGAGAGTAGATGTGACAGATTTGCGTAGAATAGGGTAAGATGTTATCATGAACGGAGATGAAAGGGCTTTTCCAACACGGAGATGTAGCATGGATCAAAGCATTTGTTGGATTTCAGCTTTTACAAGCGGACATCAACGCAGTAGTATTTTAGCAAGCTTACGAACGCATATAGGATACCATCAGGATTGTCATTGGTAAGTTGAAGAGGAGATACTTTTACGATGTAAATGACAGTAGAAATAAGCCCTACATATGTTGTTGTACTTCGTATTGGTTTAATATTCATGTAGAGTATGAGACATTAAGTGAAAGTTTTCTGAGGTACATCTGCAATTGTCGGAAGGCAAAAATAAATAAATAAAATATATATATCAAATAAAGTAGGCCCATGTCTGTCTATGTTGCTCCCGGCACTACATCATGATCATCAGAGATGAAGATGGCGCTCGCACTTAAGAACTTGGCAGTTAGTTAAGAAATGCCGCCTCGAAAAAAAGTCAAAGTCAAAGAAATTGTCGACAAATTGATAATTACAACAACACGCGCGTGCTCAGGCCCGACGTGGTGTTAAGAACAAGAACGAACCCGGATTTCTTTGTGGTGTAAGAACAGAGCTCCCAAAACGCGACAGCTGCAAGATATAATGAGCACTCACGAAGGGGTGAGGGACTACTCGCGGGGTGAACGGTGGGCAGCTAGTTGCAGATCAGCGGCGAGGAGGAGCTTCCTTTGAAAATAGTACTGGTGGTGCGGAGATGGGGGGGGTGTAGTGTTTTTATTTTTGCGCGTCCAACGGTAGTCAACCATAGAAAAATCGGTCTTACAAATGCCGGCACTCTTCAAGTTTGTGTTTTTATATATATATATATGCCGCGAATGTCCGATAAATCGGTGTGTCGTGTTTTCTGTGGACACCGGCTGGTACATAGTTTTCGCGGCAAGGCATGGACATTNACTACTCGCGGGGTGAACGGTGGGCAGCTAGTTGCAGATCAGCGGCGAGGAGGAGCTTCCTTTGAAAATAGTACTGGTGGTGCGGAGATGGGGGGGGTGTAGTGTTTTTATTTTTGCGCGTCCAACGGTAGTCAACCATAGAAAAATCGGTCTTACAAATGCCGGCACTCTTCAAGTTTGTGTTTTTATATATATATATATGCCGCGAATGTCCGATAAATCGGTGTGTCGTGTTTTCTGTGGACACCGGCTGGTACATAGTTTTCGCGGCAAGGCATGGACATTCTCGGGCTTGGACAACCTCGCCTGCAACCAAGCACGGATACAAATTTCCCTTAACTGGGTTTGGACCGGCGTTTCGAACCCCTGCCTGACCTTGGAGGTTGGCAACGGTGCGCCCGACCGGGTTACGCAGGTTACACAACGCTTAGGGGTTACATGTCACGTTAACCCCCCTTAACCGTGCCCACTGGCCACCTGTGTGGGTAGACCGCTTTCTTTACACCATGGACTCCCGAGTATATCAAGGTTGATCGGCGCCCTTTCGCGGAGATCATCGGGAGGAACCGACCATTCGCAACGCAGGAACAAACGCGAACCGCCGGACCACCGGATGCTGCTGTCGAAAGCGTACCACAAGGGATTGGGTCGTCCGGGGAAAGCGTCATCATGTCATGGACATTTGGATTCCCTCCTCACTTCTGACCGGCCCTCGCCCGTGGTGGACGACAAAGAAAACACGCTCCTTCGACCGCGCCACGTGCAGCCGCCGCTTGCACTCTTGAGCCCAGCCCCTAACGACTCCACAGCAACCTCGGAGACGGCAGTCTACTGCGTCGATACCGCGCGGCGGCGGGACCGGTTCACAACAGCAGTTTCAGGTAACGTACCCGTCACGTCATGCATAGGGTAGATCAAGTGGGTGGTGATGTATATGGCCTATTTTTCCTGGTGGGTTCAACGGGGGGAGAGGGGGGGGTCCCCCCTCGTCCCCGCAAACCCACCCCACCAACTTGCCGACTTGCTCACTTGCCCTTCAAGGGGCACGGGGTATCGCATACACCGCTACGCCGCCTTTATTTTCTTCTGCGCAAACGACATTCCCGCCTTGAGGTGTCGCCGCCCACAACGGCTAGACTGCTGCTGTACATCATCATTTCTTTTGATTGTGTATATTCTCCCCAGCCAGACTCCCCGCGTAGGAGTTTCCGGAGCACCCACCGCCCCCGACGTACGTATGCATAGGGGCCGCCACAGGCGACAAATAAAGTATCGTTTCTTTTCCCGCGCGACGTGATGAGTGATGAGTGATTAGTGAGATGGAGACTGGGCAGCAGCGTTGGACGCAGTCCTTGTGGGACACGCCCAGCCACTGCTGTGTAGGAGGTACAGTAGGAGGTGTCAACATGGCAATACCTAATGCAGTCTCTCTCTTGAAAGTCGGTCGGATTCACTTTCAAGATGAAAGCTGTCAAGTGCATGGAAGGTACCGGGGTAATCTCAGCATCCACTTGAAGACACCCCTTTTGACGCTGGCTCTATATCCATACTTACGTGCTCCAATATTTGACAGGAGCACACCTTTCAGCCGTTGAGATGTTCTTCGCTCGAAGTAGTTCAACATATTATTGTTGAATCTCATGTATCGGAGGTCGTATGCGTCCTACCGTCATCAGTAGAGGACACCATGAAGAAAGAGGCGTCGTGCGTGCTGGCACGTTCAGGCACTGGAGCTTAGCCCAAGGCTAAGTTGAGACGAAATATCCGATTGACACGGTGCTTTCCCGAGACACGAAGCTATCTTTGATGAAGGCTCGACACATCACAAGAGTCACAGGGTGCACCGGATTATCCTCTGCAGATATCGCCTTTTCCTGCAAACGTGCCCCGCTGCCAGTATGACGTACTAATATCTACAAGTATTGTTTCCTTTCGATTCATTCAACTGTTCTTTCATGCGCTTAAAAACTTTGAAGAACAAGCTCGACGTAACAAGCGGTCTCCGGATCGCTTTGCTGGCCTCCTATAGTAGCAGGGGGGCCATCCCGAACGAATTTCCGAGAAAACATATCGGTTACACAAATTTCAAAGCCACAATGATTCGTTTGAGGGCCGATTTCCCTCTACGAAGCGGGCCCGCGAACGCTGGCTGTAGTCCGCTAAAGTACCCAAAATACGGAGGTTCTGACGTCCGTGCTTAGATGCCTTCCGCGTGTGGCCTCAAGCAACGGCCACACCGCCAGAACAACGGCTTCGGCTATTCAAACCACCGCCCTGGCATCCACAACGTCTGGCCACGCACACGGCACAGGGTCCAACACCCTCTCCCACCACGACTCGTTGGCTAACAAAACTCAATATATCTGACAGAAGGTACACAGCCTCAGCGTACCGCGAAGTGTGGGCAGTCGCTCGTCCGGTCTCCCCCGGAGATAGTTCACCGCGGCTACGCCTGCCGAGGCTACCTTGATCAGCTGCAGGATAGCCAAAGGGATTCCAAGCACCATGACACCCTTATCCCCACCACCGTCCTCTCCCTCCTCTCCAAGCAACAGCCGATTTGCGCCGCACACGAGCAAGAAGAGCGACATGATCTTGGTGTGGGCGTACATGACCGTAAGGACGAAGCACGACTGGTTCGCATCTATGTACGCCGAGCCCGCCATCGACTCTATCACCGCGACCACGGCCAAGACCGAGGGCACTACCCTAATCCAAACCGGTTCGTCAAAGAGAGATGTCCACGTTGGGAAGAACGAGAGGAGGATCACCACCGGCACGACCGCGGCAAGCATCCCGTACAACGCCATCGCAGCGAAATCCCTCCTGGTCAGAAAGCGACAGAAGAAGACCAGCACGACAGGTAATAACCGCCGCCAGGAAGAGGTACACCACCGGTAGAGGAGGGGTGTGTGAGGCAGTGATCGTAAAACATGATCGCAAAAGTATCACTCACCTCTGGCGTATTTTCGGTTGGGTTTGATTTCTTGCTGGCGGCCTTGGGTACGTCGTTGTTGGTGCTGGGGTTTATCTGCTCATCCTTTAGTCGCACCAATTGAAGAACGTTTAAAATATGCATATGCATGCTTGCTTCAGTTTTTCCTCCCATAGTCTAGATATTTGTGTGGCTTCCATTTTCACTACCATAAGACCTTGCCTCTTCCACCGAAGAGCCAAGATCTGGGGTCACACAGGAAAAATTCTCTGCGGCGCTTGCCAATATTCGTCAAAGCAACAGGGATCAGCCATCCTCCCCTCAAGATTCCTCACAATACAAGCTTTTCCTCTGCTGCGCAGGAAATTGGGAGTGAACACATCGTCAGCACTGAATGCGACTTGGAAATCGTCTCGCACAATGTACGTAGTCCACAACGCACCTTTTTCGGGACCGTGGGGGGTCGCGGGGGTAAACCATGTTGTGGAGCTGGTCCCTTGTGATGGTCTTGATGTTTTCGGGATGGTCAATGGAGGTGCTGTTGTTGCAGACGAGGCAGAGAGCCAACATCCCCGGCATTCTGCCCAAGAACTCGAACGCCGCCAACATGCTGAAAATCACCTGCGACCGGCGAAGTTTGCAGGGCGTGTAGAACGTGGCTTAGACCGCAGAAGAGTAGGTCAACACTATGGAAATCCGACTGAAAAATATGATGAGCAGCCGATGGAAAATCTCACACGGTATGCGTGGTCGGGGAATGTCTGCCCGACGCAATCGGAACGGCAAAGGTGATCTGGATCTTTGCGGGTGGTCGGGCTGTGGGACATGGGGTAGGTGACCGGGGTATGTTTGCCCGACGCTATCCGAAAGACACGGAAGATCGATGAATGTTTGCTCTGGAGTTGTCGTTTTCAAGGGATATTCGATGCATGTGTTGGAATAAAATGGAGATTTGCACCTTTTACATTGGATTTCCAAGACGCGTTCGGGTTTGCTAGCCGTTGGTAGCTGTAGGAGTATGTGCGCTAACACTTCAAGATGCAAGTTCTACTGTATTTCGGAATGACACCTGGAGAGATTGCGTTGGGCATGCCTTTCTCTGGCTCCAGACTGGTGTTCAACCAGGAAGCAAATGACATGTACTAATCTTCAACATGCTATGAATCCGATCAATCCATACAAGTATTCCTGTACCACTTGCTTTCCACATAGGCTATGACCAGACCAGACTAAAAGTCATCGTGCTGCGAGAAAATACCTGAACAAAAATACCATGAAGTACGAGGGTGAAGGGACACGACAAACACAAACAAATCCAAGTGGAATTGATTGTCCTTCCACGCCACACGACCTGTGCATCGTGATTGAATCTATGTCATTCGCTGAACATTCCCAGGTACCCTATTTACATCACGCGTGAACTGCGCGGCGTGGGTGGGACAACATACATTGTGCGCGGGGTGATCAGAAGGACAGCATTGTAAGATAAAGCTACACCATTAGTCTAGTCAGCGCTGACTAGTCTAAAGGTGTAAGTTCATCGAATAAAAGGTATGCGCTCAGCTCATTAGCACACGGCAGGATCACTTGGGTTTTTATGGCTTCATCACTGGGATTGAGAGCAGGGATCTCCGGGGACGGACCCCTCGCCAGACGCTGAAAGTTCTAGGTGCACTTTTTGTAAAGAATAGGGATCCTGCCGGTATTTGAACTCGTGCGGGTATCCTTGATTACTCGTCCCCTCGCCAGACGCTGAAGTGCACCTAGAACTTTCAGCGTCTGGCTAGGGGTCCGTCCCCGGAGATCCCTGCTCTCAATCCCAGTGATGAAGCCATAAAAACCCAAGTGATCCTGCCGTGTGCTAATGAGCTGAGCGCATACCTTTTATTCGATGAACTTACACCTTTAGACTAGTCAGCGCTGACTAGACTAATGGTGTAGCTTTATCTTACAATGCTGTCCTTCTGATCACCCCGCGCACAATGTATGTTGTCCCACCCACGCCGCGCAGTNTCTTCATTCGATGAAGTTTCACCTTTACACTGGTCAGCGGTTTCACACTTAGCGCTGAAGAATGCACGCACGAGTTCAAATTCCGGCTGTTCACTTTCCCAAGAACCATTTACTTCTTTCAGGCAGCGTCTGGCGACGGGTCCGTCCCCGGAGATCTCTACTCACTCACCAACCCAAAGTGTGATCCAGCCGGGTGCAAATAAGCTCTGAGCATATATTTTGTAAGATAAAGTTACACCATTAGACTAGTCAGCGCTGACTAGTCTAAAGGTGTAACTTTATTGAATAAACATGTGGGTGGCTGCGGGGGACAGGTGATCGGGGTTTGGTTGCCTGAAGTGATCTGAGAGATCGGTGATCAGAGGTATGTGTGCTCAGGTGATCTGAACGACACAGGTGATCTCTGTGTGTGCTCCGAGGCGATGTGAAGGACATACCTCATCTGAGCACGTTTACTCCGTGGTTATCTGAAGGACGTAGGCGATCTGAGAATGTGTGCTCCATGGTTGTGTGAAGGACACACAGAAATGATTGGAGTAGTCTAGTTTGCTCCATCCTGATCTGACAGACATAGGTGAGCTACTGCATGATCTGTGTGAAAATATCACAACAGGCCTGATGAATGGTGACTTGAGCACTGGGGTTAGGGCGAACTCTACCGACCTGTGTAGACAAGTCACAAAGCTCGGGGAGGTGGGTGAGCGCTTGTCACTGCACGCTGACCGTAGCGACTAGGCGCCGCATGCGAACATACATCGGGTCGGACACGAATTCCTCACAAAAACCAAGATCGGCACCTTGGCTATCTCTAAAAACATGATCGGCAAGTTATGCGAGACTAGTTGCGCGGATGATCACTGTCGCTGGAAATCCTAGCTAGTACCCAAAGTCAAGCAGCAACACACGAGACAAGATAAGCAACAATATTTCATGGCTAAGCTCCGTACTGTTGTGCAGCCACACGACGAGCTGAGACGCAACTGATCACCATGAGGGAACCTTCGGGAACCACTACATCCCAACACCCCAACATTGTTCTGGTTGTTGCACACCGTGTCCTCCAACCCCCCCAACACTAACTAACCATATCTGGTGATCTATTTAACGTGAATGTCTGTTTGTAATGAGCAGTGGAGCGCGAAGCGCGACCATTTTTTTTCTTCATCCCCAGGAGGGAAAAAAAGGCTCGATTTATCGGCCTATTCTGCCGCGTGTAGTAGCGGCCCCAAAACTGGTTTCCGGAAAGCAGAAACAACCCACCTTTGGGACCAGAACGACATCTACAGGGCACTGATTAACGATCTGATCGCTTCAGACGAAGAAAAACAGAGCGCTCTATGTCACACTGGATTGGTCGTCCTTCAAAAGCAGATGACCGTGCTACACAAGCGTTTGTGCCCTAAGTTCGTAGGAGACCGCTGTCCCTAACCCCGGGGTTTCTCCGCGAAAAGGGGAATGCAAAAACGGAGATCGCACGCGCTCGCTCATGAAACCAAAAGAAGGAACAGAGACAGAGACACAACAACACCACCAATCATCACCCCTGGGACACTGATCCGAGAAAATCTGAGAACCAGGAGGGGCTGAGCCTATACGACCTGCGCGCCGTGGGTATAGTCGTGCGTCATGTGTAACCTGGCGGGGGGTGCTTATTGATGTTGAGTGAGTCCAACCGACTGCTCAACAACAGCAGACCGATGTTCACAAACACACATCATAAAATACCCATCCCCCAAGTCCAGATCACGCCTACCATGAAGAGAAACCGTCGAGGGCGCGAGGGTCTACAGCTGTGTGTTGTCAGGATGTTTTCCCGGGATCTGTTCAGGTTGCGTACTTGCGCCGCGCTACTGGCTGCTGACTGTCTTCGCCAAAGCCGTGCCCTGCCTGCTGTTTCTGCTGCTGGGTCTCTCGCATCAAAGTTATGGACATCAACGGCTATGGTGCATGTGTATGTTGTAGACTGCTTGCTTTCACTTGGGAAATTCGGAAGGCTTGAGACGAATGTGATGGCGTGTAAGTTGTGTGCCTGACGCAAGAGTATTTTCCATCCGTGTGTCACAATTATATGTCTACGCTGCTGCTCGTGCTCCTCGGCAATGTCATGTAGGTGTGATGCGCTTGCCACCAGGTATATGCCGCATGCGTGCCTCTTCCAGATGTGCGTCTTTGCGTCCGCACAGCGGGAAGACGTCGTTGTTGTTTCTTCGTGGGTGTATGCATGTGCATCAACCAATGATATACATTATTCGACATTACTATGGACGTGCCCATGGACGTCCACGGATGTCCACGGACACCGGAAAGGTGCCCGTGGACATGTCCAATGAATTGCCCGTGGACGGTGGTCCACGGACGCGTCCACCCACATCCGGGGACGGTCCACGGAAACGTCCATGGACGTCCACGGATACGGACGAGATGCTTTACTGAAACATTGCTGCAAAAACTCTGAAAATCAATACTGGATGTGTAGATAGATACAGTCTAGTTTTCTGTGCACACCGTAGGAGGCAGAAGATGTCACACCCCCGGCCCCAATCACCGCCGCAAAGAGTGCAGTGGTGCCGACATGGTGGTCAGTCTCGTATATGACACAATATATCACCCCTCCCCGTGTTTGCCATCGGGGTTGGGTTTTCGTCGCTTGGCAACGACGTTGTAAAACAAGCCAATTCACTTCGTGAACTCGGCAACCAGGTTACCGTTTTTTTTTTTTACCTCCGTTTTTTTTTTTGGCGGTAACCATAATGGTGGTCGAGTAGATCATGTTGTGCGGGGTGGAGAACCCTCACTCCGCGCAAGGGGGATGATCGCACCACGTTGTGTTAAAATGGTCAAGCACCCTCGAGGCAGTTACACAGTGCTTACAACTGTCTCAGGAAGTGAAAGCACCAGAAAATAAATTAAGTCATACGCAGCTGTCATCCGTACGCAAGGAAGTAAGCACAAGATGCCGAAAACCCTTAGCAGGATGCAGCGCACCCTTCATGCGACTCGCCGAATATCTCACGGCGCTTCGCGCTTGGTGATGTGAGAGCCTGGTCCGGTGAGAACCCGGCGTGCTCCGTCTCGGCTTTGTAGGGATGCGAGGTCAATGGTCTAACGACTACGGCATGCACGACTATGACACCGATCGATGACAACGTAGTCCACAGCAGGATCGGTGTCAGAACGGTGTCGTGAGGCTTTTCCAAGAGCTATCGCTTTGATCTACAGATACTCCATCCTCTTCGGTCGCGAAATGCCAAACAACTTTCTTAGAATGTTTACGATCCAGGTGTCGGGTGAAATATCTTGGTTACCTCCGTTTGTCTAGAGGGCACAGCAGTCTTTGGTCTATTGAACAACAGAGGCGGTCCAACATTTTGTATTCCATCTTTTGTTTTTGTGCACACACAACCCTCATCATGAATGATGAATCGAGGAATAGACCTACGCTGCTAATCCAACGTCAGACGCTCGGGAGACGGGAGACGCTCTCGGTACTCCACAGCAGCTCAGTAGAGATTCGACGCTCTCTGTCATGGGGGTACTGTACCACGACACACCCATGGAGAATATTCTAATGGTGCCCCAGACTCACTGAGGTACAACAATGGTCATGACGTTTGACCCAATGTGCGATCAACTAAGCAAACGCCGATGCCTAACCCCAAAGCTTAATTTTGGATCTCTTCGGCGGCGGGGGGGAAGCTCCCCCCTGTTGCTTGTGCCAAGAGAGAAAAGGTCCTGACCAAAAAACCCACGGCAAGGATAAGGAGGTTCTAGAATTGGACGGAATGTTGAAAGAAGGCATAGGGTTCAAGGAGTA